CTGCGATATGAGCGGAACAAATGATCGATCGGTGGTCGATGGTCCTAAAGTGTGAGACGGCTGTTCGCACGCAGGTCAGATAATAACGCGAGTAATAAGAGTCAATCCATGTGTCATAATAGTATGCATGTATCATGTTGGATGTATCCAGAGAGAGAGGGAGAGGGAGGGAGGGAGGGAAGGAGAGAAAAAGAAAGAGAGAGAGTGTATGTGTGCGATGTATTTATTGATATTATATTTTAGGGATATAAGGCTCGGTATCTGATAATAGCGATATATTAGCTTATAGCTGAGAAAGTAAGATCGATGTTGCTTTGTCTCTCTTTTTTTTGTTTTTCTTTTCTTTTTTTTTTTTTGCTTCCCGGCTTCGACTTCTTTACGTTCGCGCGATTTTTCTTTCGCGCGGGTTCCCGCTTGGCAGCCGCGAGGAGCACGACAGATGCCGGACCGTAAAGTGAGATGATACACACACACACTAACATGGCCTCGTTCAAGAGGTTGTTAGTATTTTACAAAAAATAGAGTGGCCACACACGTGTCCACGAGAGAGATACGAAACTTAACGATTCATCGTCGAATAATATATATATATATATATATATATCTCTCATACGACACACATAGCAACGATATCAAAAAGCCAAGATTTTGTGAGCGCGTATATATCCTTTTTGTTATTTATTTATTTTTTTCTCTTATTTTATTTTTGCCACTGCACAAATCGAGCGTGTTTTACTTCTCGCATCCTGTCGCTGTAGATTAACGTACGAGGATCTTCGAAATGGTTTTTATCGCGCGCAGCGGGGCCGGGGCAGGCCCGAACGATGATACAAACCGTGTAATCTCATTCCGTCTAAAGGGATAAGGCGAAAACGAAGAGAAAAAAAGAGAGAGAAAGGAGCGAGATGCGAAGAGTGTCGCGTATAAAATTGCATAAATAATCTCTAATAAACTGCGATAAGCAGGCTTATGAGGGGAAAGAAAATGAACGAAGATAGGGATATATTGAAGATAAGAAAAAAAGAAAAAAGGGACTTTTCGGGGGAATCTCATTTTACACACGAGCAAGTTTACACAACATGCAAACATACACACACACGCGCGAATCGAATCGAAACTACTGTATTAAGAAGTATTTAGAGCTACGAACGATATTAAGATTTCTTAAGCCGAATATGTACATAGAAAGAAGTTTAGCGATTTAAGGTTCGCAAGGTTCATTAAAAACGAGAGAAATCGCTAAATCCGCGCGGACTCTTCTGACTCGACCGCGCGAAGAGTCCGGCCCCGTTTGTCACGCAGCAAGCTGACGTTTCGTCGTTTGTATTTTCGCAAGAAAGAACGAAAACAAAGAAAAACGCAGAAAGTATTTATTAAAGAAAAAAAAACAAACGCAGTATTAAACGCGCGAGGTACACATTCGATCGAGGACCGTGATTCGATTCAGTTGCCGACAGAAAGCGAGAGAGAGAGAGAGAGAGAGAGAGAGAGAGAGAGAGAGAGAGAGAGAGAGCGCGTGTCGTCTGATCGGCTCGATCGCATTCGACTTTCGGTGGAGACGCGCTACGTTCGCTAATTCGCCCGCCGCCATTCAGTTTCTCCGCTCTCCGCGCTCGCACTGAGTTCGCGCGCCCGAGATCCGAATGCGGGACGTCGCGGGTCGCCCGCGCGAGACTCACGGACTCCCAGACGCGGGACGCTCTTTTTCGTAGGTGTGCCATAACTTAAGTCGATGTTAACAAGATCGTAAGTGTGTGTATGTGAGGGAGAGAGAGAGAGAGGTATACATATACCTTTCGGCGGCTCAACATTCGAAAGTAAGCTTGCGCGCGTGCCTACGCTGTCCGAGCGAGCCGACAGTGAACACTCGCGTGAGACACTCAATCGCCCGTAAATGTTGAAGCCACTGTGTGAACAAAAGAGAGAGAGAGAGAGAGAGAGAGAGAGAGAAAGAGTGAGTGAGTGAGTGAGTGAGTGAGTGAATGAGTGAATGAGTGAGTGAGTGAGTGAGTGAGTGAGTGATGGAGAGAGAGAGAGAGAGAGAGAGAGAGAGAGAGAGAGAGAGAGAAAGAGAAAGAGAAGGAAAACGCAACAACACACTTTTGTAATTCGATGATTAACCGCAAACATTCCCGTAAGGAACGTCGATGTTACTTCGCAGTCTCGTGAGGAGGCGCGTTTCAACTGGTTCGGAAGCCTGAAGAGAGGGAGATGAAGAGGGAGAGAGGGAATATAAAATCTCGTTCGTGATAAACGAGAGGGATTTCCTCCTTCGAGGAGCCGAGGCGAAACGCGCCTCTCGTGGGACACGCTATACGCTCCGTATTTGTAAGGATAAAACATAACGATATTTCTACGATCGAGGAGGCGTCGCGAGCGATGCGCCGCAGCGAAAGACAGGTAAAAGAGAGAGAGAGAGAGAGAGAGAGAACAATGAACGGATCGTACACATTCCCGTTTAGTCGTAAAAGAAAAAAAGATTTTATACATTCGTACGTACGTAATTGTATAATGTTCTTAATAGAAAGGAAAAGACGTCGATGTTTTACGTGTGGGATCTTGAAGGCCGCGTAAAAATAATAATAACCGGCGTGACCGGCGTTTTTCCGCGCCGACGATGTCGATTGAAGCGTGTTGACGCGTGTAAGTCGAAGTGCGCGCGCATGCATGCGCTTGGAAGATGTTTCTTCTTCTTGTTCTTCTTCTTCTTGCTCTTATTGTTCGTCTCCGTCTGTTTATCTTCGTCCGTTTTACGTGTAACGTCGAATCGATCGTTCAGTTCAGGAGCACTTTCGCGAAATTTGCCCACACGATTACGATCACACGTGTGTTGTTCACCGAGAGTCGCTTGCACTGTTTTTACATTGATCTCATTTCTCGCCTCCGCAAGAGTCGCGTACACATCGATGGTTAGCTTAGATTTAATGTCTCACGGTACCCCCCCCCCCCCCTCCCCCTTCCTCGTCTAACACGATATCGTTAGGATCGTTTCGTGCCGATAAATTAGCCGCTTGGTGGCAGTCGCCCTTCTAAGCTTCTTCGTTAGCGAGTCTGTCGTGTGTATTTTCCCTTTAATATCCTGGGAGCGACTTGTAAGCTATCATTTATCGTGCGACTATCGTTTGTAATCCGAATATCCTGCGTAAGCTGTGCTTTCAAATGCGATCGAGCGACGTGGTTCGCTGCGACGGCGGTCTGATTAGTTTCTCGTCGGAGACTTCCGAGCTCCGAGCTGTTATTTAACAAATAGTTGTTTTAGCTTTATTGCTTGACTAATAGCTTCGTGAATCTCCGATTACGCAGGTCGACGAAAAAATGTTTGCCGAGTTGTTCTAATTAGTACAAATGGTTTTCCGCAGATTTTCGGTTACAAGGAACAATGTCGCTGGCCAAATTGCATTGTCGCGTCGGGTTTTAAAGTTAGTTTGACGATTTTTAAATGAGAGATCAGCTATTTTATGGGATATTTATCAGGGTATTTATTGGCTAAATATTGACTTATATTCTCGCTATTAAAATGTCAAAATTTGAATAACCCATTTGAAAGAGTTTAAGAAAACTTTTTTTTTATATTGAAATTTAATAAAAAAAATGTCTTTTATTCTGAAGAATTGGTTTTATCAGCCATTTTAAAAAATACCATATATAATTATATGTAATTATATGTGGAAAATTTTTGTCCCGGGATTGAAATCCGACTATTTGTTTTCACTAATCTTGCCACATGTGTGCTTGTTTTTCTATTTTTCTTTTTTTTACTACATGTGAGACGATTTTTTGTCTTTTGCTAAGAAATCAAAATGTGAATCAAATATTCATTTTTATTGACGGTTGATGATTGATTATACATTTTTTTTCTACAAATCGCTAGATTTTCTTTTAAAACACAGAATAACTTTAAAATCTGATGTGATGGAGTAATTTGGCCAGCTGTGTTGTTTTTTGTGGGCGAAAATTTCTAAGAAACACCTATTCTGATTAGAGCGTTTGTTTTGTCAACCTGTGTTATCAGTCGATCTGTACTTACATGTACTTCGTGTAAGAGATATTGATTTGGATGGCCGAATAATTGTCCACGAACACGTACCTGCAATTAATCGTGCTCTCGACCAAGAATGATTATTAATGTAAATTATTTACAATTATGATGACCGCTCTGAGAGATCCTCTCGAGTCACAGAACAATTAAATCCATCGAGACCCTTGTCTACTCCATCACTGTTCGTATTTCTCATTCTCATGAATGAAGCCTTTCCTTCGAATCTAAACGATCACTAGCGCTAATTAACGCTTCGTATCGTTAATCTCGAGCTCTGGAAAAAGTCAGAGCGACCTGGACAACCGCCGCACCGGACTCGCAGAGCCGCGATCGCAGCCTTTCGTCGCAGCGCTCTTGTGTCCACGATGTAACGTTTAAGCAATAGCACAAGAAACGAATCTACCGAGTAACGAGGAGGTACTCGCCACCGATGATGACGACGACGACGACGTAGCAGTAGCGATAACAATTAGCAGCGAGCGCAAAAAAATAACCATCACCAAGCTTCGCAAGGACGCGCTCTTCGCTTCTCATCATCATCATCATCACCACTACCACAACCACCACCATCGTCATCATCTGCTGTACATCACCATCGTCATCGTAATCCTTCGACACGTATCCATCGAGCGTCTTCTCTCTCGCGAAGCCTAAAGGAGAAAAACCACTTTTTCTACGATACGTCCGTTAAGATTTCCGCTTGTCTCTTCTCGCTGTTCGAGGACGGGGGCCGTGGACGGCCCCCCCCCCGTCCCTCTTCCCCGCGCATCCACCCACTCACCTCCCGGTTACGAATAACGAATATCCTTGCGTTGTCTAACGTAGCCTGTGATAAGAACGTAGGCGTACGGATCTGATCTTGTTTCCCTTTATTTATAGCATCGGCTGATGTACGAATGTATTATAGTTGTACAGTTGCATCGGATGATGTGTATTATAAAACCCGGCTTTACTTTTGGCGTTTTCTCGGCGCGTTCGTCCCTTCGTACTCTCTCCTTTGCAAGTATGTTATTATAATTATCATCACTGTATTATCATTACATCCCTCTTTTTACACACACACACACATACACACACACATACACACACACTTTGTCACGCGTGTCGTGTCTCGTATGTTCCTTTTCGCGCGTTCACCTCGAGAGTTTTCGCCGTTCTTTTCCGTAGTCCTCTCTGCGTACTTTGCGAGCACCCCTGGAGTAACGATGGGAAATCGCGAAGAGAGATCGCGGTGTACACACACACACACACACACACATACATTACATACATACACGGGAGAAGATGTATCGCACGAAAAATGTATTCCGTCGATTGTATACTCGTTAACTCAATGTTGATCTCGTCGTCTCACGGAGCGATACGGAGACTTTCAGTTCGCGACCGGCGACGACGATGACGCGTCCTCTCAGCGGGTCCTCCCCCAAATTGATTTAGCCGCGTTTTGCGATATTTTATACCTTGACGTTTTTTATAAACGAGAAATAAAATAAAAGGAAACGTATTTGTAGTAGTACACACGTACACACACACACACACACACACACACATATATATATATATATATATATATATATATATACATACATACATATATATATATATTTATATGTTCTTTCGTAGCGTTGTGCACTCTTGTGTTTCTCGCGCGCTCCGCTCAGCCGCGAGAGGATCGCGAGGACTTCCCTCTCGGCTTTGACTTTCTCTTTCACCGGAACTCTCTATCTTTTCACGCGAGGAATGACGTTCCAAATGTGAACAGTGACGTCGACAGATTTGCTAGCGAACCTATAGTGTGACACCTGTCAATGAGTAGAATCGACGAACAATCGATACAGGATTGTTTTGCCTTCCGGCTCTTTCTGTAATCACTAAGGAATGGCGATTTGAACTCGGACAATAATTTCAGATAAACCCCCGAACGAGAGAAATATTATATATAATATTTAGTGTAATTCAGCATATAGACCCGTAAAAAATTTCCCATATATAATTATATATAGATTATGTCCATATATATGAATATAATTATAAATATACATTATATACGGCTATATATAGTTATATATAATCATATATAACTGTATCGCCATTTCATATATAATTATATAGACATATTTTATGACGCCTTAAATATAATTATATATAATTATTTCTAATTATATATCTAATTATACATAATTATATCTAATTATACATGGAAAATTGTTTCCCCCGGGGATATCGTTTATTAGAAATATCGAAGTATTTAGTATAATTCAAGACTGATATTTATAATAATTTAACTCGGGAAGTAACGGAGATGAGCGAATTTTTATTTTACTTAAATCCGTCGAGAGCACTTCGCGCGCTTTGAGTCTGTATATTTTATCCGTTATTCTCTTTTCCTCTTATTCGACTTTCTCTTTATTCTTCTATACTTATCACTTCCGTATTTTTTCAATTTAAACGCGACGGACGCGACTACTGGTGAAGGCACGATACAGGGGAGACAGCAGACACTTATACTTTGTCGCCTCAACTTAGACAATCGAAGAGAGAATGCCAGTGTTGCTCGCAAAGTATCGACCAGCTAATCCGAAACGTATGCACATCTCATGCCGAGACCACCGTTGAAATTCGCCGACCCGCCGAATTTTACAGAATTTAGTGCGAACGTGACCCGCTCTTTCCTTCACGAATGCGTTTCCATCTTCTCTCCTGAATTACGCGTTTATAAATGTCGTCATTTATATACATGTAACGATTTTTGTAAATAATCAGTATACATATATAAATATATAATTATATATATATACATATATATATACATAAAGATATATATATATATAAATTATATATATATGAGAATCACAACGTGTAAATGGACGGAATCTGTCTTCGTTATATCGATAGTCTTATATCAGACTTGTATATGGACGGAGGGACTTTTGATTATTAAAAGTTTCCTAGAGTAAAAAAATAACGAGACGTTTTCTCTCCAATCGCCATCAAGAGACATTCCCCTTTATCTTATTGTAATTAAAAGGATATAAACCGAAGGTTTAATCACAACCAGCAATTTTAATTTATTTCTATTTATATTTCAATCATTTTAATATGCAGGTAGGTATTTGGCGATTATTCATGTATCGTTTTCTAACATATTTTTTGCAGTAAAATTGAATATTAGGTGTTCTGGTTAGTTTTGAGGGATTTTTTTGCAAAAAAAACACGTTTATTTTGGAGAGACGTTAAGTTATATTTTATGTAAAATATTTTCTACCGTTAGCTACAATTTACGCTTTTTTACGCTTAGGATTATTATAACATATCCATTTTTCATCGCCAGTTACAATTTTATACAAAAACTGTTTTTTTTTCATGACGAGAAAATAATGAAGTGTAAATGGTTAAACGATTTTGAAAAGCCAATTCAAACAATTCATATAGAACTCCATTGGCCTTTTTTTTTAATCTTTCCCATTGTATGTAAACGAACAAAAACGGTCAATTTACCAATATTTAATGCTTCAGCTAATTCTTGAAGCGTTTCAGCTGAGTTTTCATTCAACAATGCCTGTAATTCGGCATCTTCGAACTTTTTTGGTTGATCTGAACATTTTTGACCTTGAATATTCTCTGTCTTCCAAATCGAAATCACCACTTTTAAATCGTCGACGCTAGTACTCACACGTTTTAATTGATGGAGCAGACTCAGAATAAGTTTTTGAGATGAATCGGCGAGCTTCGGCAGCTGTTTTCTTCGAATTAAAATGGTAAAGTAATAGATGACGAAAATGCTCCTTATCACGTTCAATTTTTAATCGCACTAAACAGTACGGTTATGTTTACGAATACACAACCTGTATCAAATGATTTGTAGAAATGTTCAAGCTTTGAAATGACGTACCAACTTTCAAAATGTCTCTAACAGATTTGTAGCTATAGCCATCTACCGTGAGCCCTCAAAACTAACCAGAACACCTAGTATTTTGCTCGTAATTAGAACTAAATTGCAAAAATAACGGGCTTAAAATTGGGTCTTCGATTTAAACCCGTTATTTTTACAAAACAAATAAAAGGTCTAAAGCAAAGTTATTAACTCCTTCGACCCGTTACTTTTTAAGAGCAAAAAGGAGTCTAAAATAGGGATGTCCAGATTCTTAGACCCGTTATTTTTGGAAATTAGTTTCAAAGTCGCCGCTACGAGCCGCCACTTTCTAAAGAACTGAGGTCGTAGTACGACTCGATATAAATCAGCCATATACTGATCAAGTAATACAAATTAATAGTAAATCATGCGAATCTTTATTTTCAAGGGACATCTGACAAAGGTAATTAGTTTATTTAATTAAAATAATTAGTCGACTTATGACAGATATGCTCATTTCTTTCAAATCTCTTAGCTGTCTTCTAAAAACCCCATCAACTGCACTAATTAAAAATCTTGCTGCGATTATTTAAATATTATATATAAGTAGCATAAAGAAAAAAAAAAAAATATATGAATCACATTCATGTCAATAATTGGCATGTCGAATGTGAAGACGTATCAAAAGAAATCCTCGGCGACTGATTTGCGCGATAAACGCACACAGCAAACTACCGTATCGCTTTCTTTTTATTTATTGCACAAATAACGCTGATGACGAGCGACGTGCGCTCCCTCCGCTCGTACCGTGTGCACGCGCGTGGTTAGGTGGGGGGACTGACCGGCCGGCCAATCAGCATGCGACAACACTTCGCGGGCCGCACCAAGTACCGCTGGCCGTCGCATACTGTAGAACGGCCACGTATGCGACGACGGTCAGTGCTAGACAGTCTGAAGTTCGAGCCGCAAGTGATTGGTCGCAAGGATGCTGCGAACGTGCCTGACGATCCTGCCGTTGCTCTTGCTCGGCGCGTTAGCCGACGAGAAGTATATCCTGGAGCTCACCGACGAGACGTTCGAGAGCGAGCTCACGCGTCACGAGAACACGCTCGTCATGTTTTACGCACCATGGTGAGTGACAAACAGCGGATCGACAGACTGCGAGAGAGAGAGAGAGAGAAACGGCTACCGGAGCCGTCCGGTTTATATATTATAGCTGCCTTATGTTCCTCTTTCTCGGCTTTTTAAACGTGGCAAATGCTTCACTCTGCGCTCAAGAAAAAGCGAACCAGAAGCAGGACGAGAGCAGAAAGAGGGAACGGGGAAAAAAGAGAAACGAGAGAGTCACGAGAGAGTGCAGATAGTGCAGACGGAAGGCGGAAGGGAACCTCCCGGTCGTTGATTGCTAAGAGTTTCCTTATCTTTTCGAAAGAATTCGATCCTATCGCGTTCTCATCGGCTGCTCAGGGCCTGTATCTTCCGCTTGGCGGGACGGAAAAATGTTTTCTTCTGTACAGACACGGCGAAACTACCAATGTCGGCGAATGCCGGTACGCGGCATTCTTCCGTCTGGCCTGATGACGTATTCAGAATTCTGATGTCTCCTTGAGTAAATTGGTGTCTAACGAACGCCGGCGTTTTTTTTTTATCTTCTTGCAAAACGCCAAATTTGATAAAGAGAATTACCGCTCCTCTGCTTTCTCCTCAGCTATTTATGTAATGTCTCTTTATATATATTTTTTTTTTTGTTTTTCTTCTCGCATTTGTCTTCTTTTTTCTCTGAACTATAGGATCAGTATTTTGTCCAATTTTTCCCCCTTCTTTTTTTATTTTTCCAATAAGCCGGTTAAGTTTATTTCAGTCGTGATGCGGAAAATGTAAATGACATGCGGTTAATGATCTCGAGATAAGAATCTCCTTCGCCAAGAGTCAGAAGGTATAGAATGTATTCCGATCGTGCGATTTCCACTGTATTCGCTCGAGAAACTTAAGCTCTTAAAAATTCGGATTATTCGTAGTTACCAAGAACTGGTGAACATGCAAGATAAGAGCTCATACATGTATTCATTGACAACAAGCACTTGTATGCGATTATCATCGTGCAAATATTAACAGAATCTCAACTTGCGACTGTCACTTCGGAACTATTGATACGATATTAATTTCGTTCTTAGGTGCGGACATTGCAAGCGCTTGAAGCCGGAGTACGCCAAGGCAGCGGAACTGCTTTTAGGCAGCGAGCCGCCCATCACGCTGGCTAACATAGATTGTACAGGAGCTGGAAAGGAGACGTGCAATAAGTACAGCGTCAGTGGCTACCCTACGCTTAAGATCTTCGAAGGTGCCGAAATGAGATCTGATTACAACGGTCCGAGGGAAGCACTTGGCATCGCCAAGTACATGAAGGTCTCCTGCTTCTTTTTATGCCCGGTTTAGTGATAACATTTTCAAGATTCAAGATAAAATTTTTTTTTATTTAATTTTTGAAATTTCAGAAAAGAAAAACGCCCCCCTCCCCATTTCTCCACGGATTTTTGCTGTTTCTGTCCTAAGAATGCAAAAATTCGTTTAAAATCTGCGGCATTTATTTATTTTTTTCGTAAGTGAGAAAGTAAAAAGATTCGTGAAAAATCGGGGAAAAAACAGATTTCTTCCGAAATTTTAGATCCACAATATGATAACTTCCCTCTCGTTATTTGTTTCTCATTTCTGCCTAATTTCCTTTCAGTCTCAAGTGGGACCCGCGTCCCAGCAGTTGACCAACGAAAAGTCCCACAAGACCTTCTTGGAGGGCGACGAGGTCAGCGTGGTGGGCTACTTCGAGAAGGACGACTCCCCGTTGGCTGCTGCGTATCTCACGGTCACTAAGAAGCTCCGGGGCAAAGCCAGATTCGCGCACACCTCGACGAACGAGCTGTTGGAATCAGCGGGACACAAGTACGTTTCTTCTACGAAGGGCAAACGGCAATTGTGGGAAAGCGCTCGAATTAACATGCCTCTTGCTTCAGGAACACCATCGTGCTCTATCGGCCGAAGCAGCTGCACAACAAGTTCGAGCCTGACAGCGTGGTGTACGACGGCGGCGACTCCATCGGCGAGGTCGCCGAGTTCATCAGCAAGAACTAGTGAGTATCGTTTCTCCTTTTTAATGGGAAGCTTAATGCCGGGGAGCCGACTTCCAGCTCGGTGCTTCGTGTTGCAGCTTCGGTCTGGCCGGCGTCCGCACGCGCGACAACAAGGACGAGTTCAAGAACCCGCTGGTGATCGCCTATTACAACGTGGACTACGTGAAGAACGCTAAGAGCACCAATTACTGGCGGAACAGGATCATGAAGGTCGCCAAGGACTTCCCCGAGTTCTCTTTCGCCATAGCTTCCAAGGACGACTTCCAACACGAGCTGAACGAATACGGCATCGACTTCGTGAAGAACGACAAACCGGTGATCCTGGCGCGCGACGCCAAGAATCAGAAGTTCCTGCTGAAAGAAGAGTTCTCCGTCGACTCGTTCGAGACCTTCCTCAAGGATCTGCAGAACGGCGCACTGGAGCCTTACCTAAAGTCCGAGCCGATCCCGGAGAGCAACACCGGCAACGTGAAGATCGCGGTTGCCAAGAACTTCGACGAGGTGGTCAACAACAACGGTAAGGACACGCTGATCGAGTTCTACGCGCCGTGGTGCGCTCATTGCAAGAAGCTCGCGCCGGTGTACGACCAACTGGGCGAGAAGATGGCGGACGAGGACGTGGAGATCGTCAAGTTCGACGCCACGGTGAACGACGTGCCGGCGCCCTACAACGTGCGCGGCTTCCCGACTCTCTTCTGGGCGCCCAGGGATTCCAAGGAGAGCCCGATCGAGTACGAAGGTAAACGCGGCCTCGAGGACCTCGTCGAGTACGTCGCCAAGCACGCCACCGACCAGCTCAAGGGCTACGATCGCAAGGGCAAGCCGGTTAAGCCCAGGACCGATGATGAGTTGTAAATTACGTCAGCCATGAGAGAGAAAGAGAGAGAGTGAGAGTGAGAGAGAAAGAGAGAAAAAGAGAGAGATAGAGCTAGAGATCGCGAAGTTCGTTCCCGTTTGCATTTCAAGACAGTACGCGTCTCGACGTTTACTTTTTAAGTAACACGCGCAAGGCGCAGCGCGAGGAGAACATCCAAGAACGAGCGAGGCGTTCAGAAACGAGCGTGAGTCGATAATTCGTTCGAGGAATTCCCCTTGAGGTGAAAAAGGGCTATTCTGTAATAGCGTATACGTAGCCGTGTGGTCGAGTGGTTTGTAAAATGTAAAAAGGCGGAATTGTAAACTAGTACTACCGGTTGCGTACGGTGCATTGTGAGAAATTGGATTTCATCTTTCACGACTACGGCAGCGTAAGAACCGACCAGAATGTCGTTATTCACGCCATCGCTTTTTTCGTCGACACATGGAAATGAGCGTGAGGACAGTTACGTTCTAATCGGCTGCCGTAGTCGAGTTATCTTAGCCCTGTTGTAGATCAATTTGTTCTACAACATTTATTACTATTGCCAAAACCTTGCACCTACGTTTACGCCATTGCAGAACGGCCTTAAGGCATCGTGTTCCAACACGTACTTGGAAGAGCCGGAAAGAATTCAGCGCGATGGAGCAGAAGAAGGCTCGTGGTGACGTAGTGAAAAACGCGAATTTGTCAACTCGGTCGAAGCTCCGATCCGGAGCAGCTCGAAGGTGAAGTCTCGTCGTGGTGGGGCGGACTCACCTCGTCTCTGAACGGCTCGAGCACCGCCGGCGGGGACCGGTAAAAGAACGGGGAACAGACTAGCCTGAGAGTGCAAATGTTGCCGCGCGAGACGGTTCGCAATAAGTGCAAGGAGAGGAGGAGGAGGGTGGAGGACGTGTTGGAGCGGAAGAATGCGTGTGTGTATGTGCGTGTGTGTGTCCTCTAACGTATAAGATCGTCTACATGTATTATTGTACACTTTGTAACGATTGTATGTAAGAACGAACGAACGCAGGACGGGGATGCGGGACGCGCTCGCTCGCTCGCTCGCGCGAGCGTAACAGAACTGATTTCAGATTTTATCCGCGGCATGCTTTCCGGTGTTTCGAGAAATTGCTGATCCACCATTCTTCGAGGAAGGCGCGCCAACGCGCGGTTGCTTCCTATGTCCTCCGACAAGTAAGCTCCATTCCAATCTTGCGTGTTTTGATTATATTACAGAACTAATCTAAGTTAGAGGGAGAATCGATTTTTGTTTATACACGGAAGAACCGAAATAAATTGTTTTATACAAAACACTACGATTGGTCTCTCTTTCTGCTGCTTTCTTCGACGACAAGTAACATCGGATGGACGTAAGTAGCGAGTATGGTTCTCGAGATTTGGAGAGAAGAAACGTTTTTTCTCCATTCTCCGCGGAAGTTGGGGAAACGGTTTTCTCCGAAACTTTCAAACTGTAGTAGTGAGTAAGCGACGTTGCTGTTCGTGCAATTGCACAAATTGCTGTAGAAGTAAATGCTTGAGAAGTACACGAGTGCCAAGTGAAAGAAATACCAGAAACCGCAACTCGATCAAGAATGTGCTACTTTACATAGTAGTTTAAGGATCATTTCTGAACTACATTCCATACGAATCGAGTTCTTTTTGCTCAAGGAACATTTTGCTCGGTGGCTGTTCCAAAATTTTACGAACTTTCCCGTCCGATCTCTCTTCCGAGGAGGAAACGTTTGTGAAGTTGACGTTGACACGTTTTGGTATGCGGTCTTAGATACTAAAACATTTATATTTACAACTGGTTACTTACCAAGGGAATATTAGACTGGCCAATAAGAACCTAATCACGGCTGTTGTAACGATATACAGTTTAGCTGAATTGGGTAAGTTAACATATATTTTTAACTAGATTAAGTTAAAAATTAATGGCCTATAAAATTAACTTGGTTAAATTATCTAAATCAAAATGAACTTAATTAAAAGTTAAATTATATTAATAACTAAGTTAATATTAATTTATTGAAGTTAAAAGTTATGCATAGTCAAGTACACACACACACATATACACATATATGCTTTTTTGCATAATTAACTTTAATCGTAGGTTAAATTTACACTAAAGGAAGATATTTATTATAAGAAAATATCAACTGTTTTGTGCTAAGGATTCCACACAAGAATGAACAGTAGCGCTTAAAGAGACAAAAAGAATTCTGATGCATTATTTCTCATTTTGTTTTAGTTTATATAGTAAGCAGCCTGGGATGATAATATTTAATATTAATAAATTATTTTAACTTATATAAAAAAAAATAGTTATAAGAAGTCACTGTATTGGTAATTAACTAATTTAAGTTAAAAGATAACTAATTCAAAATTAACCAAGTTAAATTAAAAATCATTAACCCTGTAACTTAACTCTTAACTGAGTGACTAAAATTATTGCTCGACACTACATTTTAGCTATTGTGGGAGGATGTAAGTGTTAATCGTGTAATGACGCACGCACCGGATTCGCTTCCGGAACAGAACGCACGCGATGAATCTACCTTCCACGCTAAACGAATCCTTAATCTAGAGAGTCTGTGCGTCGTTACACGCTTAACGTTAATATAACTAGAATGTATATCGCTACATATAACCGTGATTAGGTTCTCAGGTTCTTGGCCGGTCTATTTTCCCTTTGGACACTACAATTTGATCTTCTAATCCAAGATGTGCACACACACACACACACACACACAGACTATTCCCTTTTCTACTCCTACATTCGCACTGTGCAACGAATCCCGGGGAAAAATGATTATATGTGATTATATTATATATAATTATATAAAATCACATATGAATTTTGCCCATATATGTGGTTATACATATGATCATATGTGATGAGATATGTCTATATGAAAAAAATGATGCGTGTCATTTAATTAAATGCCGATATCATGTGCTGTCAGAAGTGCAAGCAGCACAGAAGTATTTATCTCGATTGCATTCACATATAATTTGTAAACAACAGTATCTTCCCGTTGTGAACATATTTGATTATATATAGTCATACATGGGCAAATTTTATATATGATATTTTTTTCCCCCGGGATGACATTTTAGCAGCAACGGTAACACTCAGTCTCATCGGTTTACATCGTCATAAGAAATGTTTATTGTTAGTTACAATCTGTTATCATAGCATTCATAGATTAATCATACAGTCTTACATACAAAAGCTAGATAGTAGTAGAGGAATAGTAGTAGTAGTAGTAGTAATAGTGGTAGTAGTAATAATAGTAGTAGTGATAGTAATAGTAGTAGTAGTAGTAGTAGTAGAAGTAGTAGTAGTAATAGAGAGAAAGATGTGTAAACTGGTACAGAGAGATTTCGGAGGTCACAGGATCGACGATCTCCTTCTTCTCCTGATCAATACAAAACTGGTTTATTCATCACGTTATCTCGCCGGTCACTCGCGGCACAAACCGTTACTCAGTCACGCTCGAGTGTCAAAAAATATCTCGTCGTCTACTTACGGAGAGAGTGATTAGCCTACGGCGATTAGAAACGCGTTATCGATGAACTCGGAGCTTCGCGCGGGGCCCTCTAAGGAAGTACTTCGCTCACGTGCCTGTTACGTGTATCTCTGTGTACGTGTGTGTGTATGTATTATCCTCGGTACTCAATATTCCGGAGAAATCAAAACTCGACTTTCCTCTTCTTCATATGCACACCGCTCTAACATCAAATACACATGTTTATCGTAATTCGCGATAACGTCGGACATCCGGATATCCGCTCGTGAAGAACCATCAATCAGGCCCGCGCTCGTTACTCTTAATTATTGCTTTCTACTTACACCATGGAAGAGAAGAAAAGCCAGTGTTTCGAAAATTAACAAAAAAAAAGGGAGAAAAAGAGAAAAACTGGTACACACTCGGAAAATCGCGCGTACCGTCTATCACGTATGAAAGAGAACACGCGGTAAAGAGAGATAGAGAGAGATAGAGAGAGAATTTACATATACAGGGTGAGGTACCTATAACTCGATCACCTTCAATTATTCATAAACTGCTAGTTATATGAAAAAATGTTTCAAATGAAAGTCGTATGATATCAACGAAGCGGACGTACAATGTAATAATTCGTTTTTTTGTTACTTCGCTTCTTTATCGAGATATGAAGGTCACCTTGAGTCCTTTAAATGGAATATGCAACACTTAGCCCTGAAATTCGAGAGAGTATTGAACGCTGAAAAACTGTTAAGGTATAATGGGTTCAAAATCAGTAATTACTGAGATATATTCTTTAAGTGACCTTTAATATAAGTAATGCTCAAAATGTTGGCCATTACAATCGATACAAGTGCGTAGTCGATTGATGAGCGTGAGTGACACACGTTCAAGCGTTGCTGGAGTTACAGCATTACATGCTCTTACAATACGGTCTTTCATACCTTCGAGCGTCGTCGGTGGCTCGCGATGAACTTTGGTTTTTAAGCTGCATCCCGAAAATGTATTGAAAATACTGACAATACTGAGAATCCATAATATACGTAACGTGAACTATAGATTTTCAGTCACGTCAGCACATTTCGGAATATAGCCTTAATTTCATCATCACCTTTCACTGAGAAGAATATCTCAGTAATTTCAAACACTACACCTTAACAGTATTTTTATTCAGCGTTCAATACTTTTTCGAATTGCAATGTCATGTAACGCATTCCATTTAAAGAACTCAGGGTGACCTTTATATCTCGATAGAAAAGCAAAGTGACAGAAAACTAATTATTATACCGTACGTCTTCCCTGAAACCGACTTCTATTTGAAATATTATTTTACACAATAAATGGTTTACGAGCAATCGAAGGTGGTCGCGAATTAGGTGCCTCACCTTCTATATATGTGTGTGTGTTTATATATATATATATATATATATATATATATATAAAGTCTATAGTATACGTATATACAATAGTCTTGGGTGCGTGATTGATACAATTATGTATATATAAGTATGTATATATATATTTTATATATATATATAACGGTATATCTACGAAACTCATTATATAAAAAGAATACTTTCGAGCTTCGCAGCAGACGCGCGAACTTGCACAACGGAGAAGCGGAGGCGTGGATCCGAAAGAAGGCGCGCGCGTTTCCCCAAAAAAAGCGCTCACATTATACAAGGCGTTCGCGCGCTCGATCACTCTAATATACATCTCCTCCCTCTCTCTCTCTCTCTTTCTTTCTCTCGGTATTCTCCTCTCTTTCGCGCTCCCATACAGATCCCATAATTGTCGTGCGTGTGTGCGTTCGCTTCGTGGGCAGAAATATCTTAGTCGTTGCAGTAAGCTCTCCTTTTTTTTTCTTTCTATCCATTTTCTCATTTCTCTTTTCACGCGGCCTCGAGAAGCTCTGTAAAAGCGCGCTGCGTGTCGCACAAGGGTGTGTTGTCGTGTCTTCGCGTTCTCTACCGCTCTCTAGCGTGTTCGAGAGAGAGACGGGAGAAGAAACGACGACGCGAAAGCAAATTGACGGTGATGGCCGCGCGAGGTGAACAATTCATCACGTCTCCTTCTCTACATCGGAATGGGGAGATCATCCGACGCGCTAGATCGGAGGGAGAATCCCGGCAGACACAAAATTCCAATTTCGGTGGCCGATCGTTGGACCGACGGCTGACGGAAGAGTCTCACTTCACTTGCGGATTATTATTTACGAATTAGATACTAAACAGAAGGACGAGCAACATGTGTTTTTTTTTCTTTTTTTTTCATTTTCGCTTCACTTCGACGAGTGAAGGAGCAACACAAGCGAAGCGGAGAAGACCGGCTCGAGATAAAACTATATCGCAGAAAACGATGAACGCGAATTTCTCCCGTTTTTCTTTTTTGCGTGAAACTTGTCGATTCGCGACACACGATCTCCGATCTCTTTTCGGCCGAGTACTACATATGCTCTCTCTCTCTCTCTCTCTCTCTCTCTCTCTTTCTCTGTCAAGATATCGATGACGTATGTGTGTATAAAAAAGCGCAAACCGCTCGTCGGCTCGGTTAGATACGTGGAACGCGTTCCGCGAAGTACACGAATATAATGCAGCCGCTGTTACAATCCGTTGTTAGTATCATCGCAATACACAATGTAACTATAAGATACAGTAATAATAATAATAATAAAATATAATAATACATTTAGTCTCCAGTTGTGGTACATCTTAGACATCAGTGCGGTCTGTTGGTTTAATCTATGAACGTTTATGGTGTAACAATTGTTCGATCACCTTTTCTCGCTCGAGAGGCAATAACGGCGATGATTTTGAGGGAAATTAGCGATGCAAGACTCGAAATAAGACTTTCGAAGCGTCCCTTTTTGTATTTCTTTTTATCAAACTTCTCACAACATTGTTCACTCTAACGCCACACATCTTTAACTAACGCCCTGGCGCTCTCTTGCATTCGCCGTTTTTTTTCTCAACTCGCTCGGGAGGATTCCTTTTTTACTTTGTATTTTGTTTATTACCAAAATAAAGAGCCACTACGATAGAAAATAAAAGAAAACAAAGAGACGTAGAATGCATATAATAATTATAATATTAATAATAATATTAATAAAAAATAATAATAATGAGATATGCTAATAATAATAATAATAATAGTAATAATCACTACCATAATAAAGATAATTGTGTACCGTAGATGTAGATAGTTGGTATATATGACAATCATTCGCTCTCGTTCGAATCGAGCGACGCTACGCCAAGTACATAAAATAAAATGACAGGTTCTTGACAGTCGTTTAAACTCGAAGCACAATTCATTACTGTTAAAAAATACACAATCAAGGTGGTCATTACAATATACATTACAGGTTTTCGTATATAATAATAAGGTATACTTATATTGAATTTTTTTTTTACTTCAACGCTTCTCAAAGTCCTTCAATGCCGTCGACGACTGCTTACGTTTGTGTATTAAGTATGTTTTGTGTGTGTGTGTGTGTGTGTGTGTGTGTGTGTGTGTGTGTGTGTGTGTGTGTGTGTGTGTATACGTATGTATGCTGTGTATACGTTATCTGCGTGTAACACGGTTGCACTTCCTCTTTTTTTTCCATTTTGTTGTTGCAAACTTGTTTTATTATGTAAAATAATTAAAGGTAAGATGTGTGTGTATGTGTATGTGTGTCTCTCTGTGTGTTGTATCATAGTTTCCACGGGGGTCTCCGGTATTACGACTAGCTTCGCTGCAGCTAGTTCCGCAATTCCACAAATTTCGCCCATGTTATCGGGCTCACTTGGCGTTACATCTTAAAGAAGCCTACATCTGCCCTTCTTCTTCTTCTTTACCTGCGATTTCACGACAGACACACAGTTAGTACAATGATCAGTGTATGAACTTAAGGAATCGTTGAATCATTCATCCTACTGAATGTATCTAAGCGTAATATCTGTTTCCTTTCGTATGACTCATAAGTGACTTTTAATATGCAAACGAGATGTAATACACCGTTAACGCGATATCTTCTTTCAAATATCGTCGAATGTTGCCATTTTTGGATTTTTCACTAACAAGACATTTATCTTTTTGATACTTGTGTATTCTTTAATCCGGATCTAGTCTTTAGCCTCTTGCTCTGAGCGCTAAATTGTAATTTCCGACAAAAAGAATTTCCAGCGCTATTATCAAGCTTTGAGCGTTATTGCAACTTTTGGCGGCGCGGGAAAGGCATTTGTCAAAAATTACGTTATATTTTATTGTTTGGAGAGCAAAAGGCTCTCTACATTTATTATAGATGTGGACTTAGATCCGTACAAACTCTCATTTATTAGTAAAAATGCTCCTAAAACCTCAGAAACAACCAGATTGGCTGAGAAGTCACATTTAAGGCATTTTTATTAATTAAAAAAAAGGGGGAGGGGGGGAATTCAGAATAGGGCCTTAATCTTTCGGAACTATATCGGTCTAACGATTAACTACTTGGCAGTGACGTACTTGTAATGCAGCTCGGGTTGCCGTCTCGAAGACTTCCCTCACACCCTCCTTGCTCTTGGCGGAACACTCAAGGTAGGCGAAAGCGTTGATTTTCTCGGCCATGGCCCTACCCTCTTCGGGCTTGACCGGCTCCTGCTTCATCTTGCTGAGCTCCTTGATAGTATTTGGATCATTGCGCAGGTCCTTTTTGTTTCCCACAAGGATAATGGGCACGTTCGGGCAGAAGTGCTTCACCTCTGGTGTCCACTTCTCGGGAATGTTCTCCAAGGAATCGGGACTGTCGATGGAGAAGCACATTAGGATGACGTCCGTGTCCGGATACGACAACGGACGCAGCCTGTCGTAGTCTTCCTGACCAGCTGTGTCCCAAAGAGCCAGTTCCACCTGTTTCGGGAAAGACAACGGGCACGTCGTTCGTTAATGAGATCAGGAGGGGAATAGAATAGAAAATTCGGAAGAGGGAGGGGGAGACACGTACTTGCTTGCCGTCCACTTCGATGTCCGCGACATAATTCTCGAATACTGTCGGCACGTATACTTCAGGGAACTGGTCTTTGCTGAACACTATGAGTAGACATGTTTTACCGCAAGCACCGTCACCCACAATAACCAACTTCTTCCTAATTGCTGCCATGAATCCTAGAATTCAAAGGAAAGCACGGTTAACGGCAATCAGGATCGGACACCTTCGACGAGAGGTGATTGCATGGTCCGACCACTGTCTGCTCGCTCGAAACGATTATCCGCTCTCTCGAGATGCACGGCTGAATGCGGAATTATTATTGGCACGCAAAGCGACACGTGTGCGTTTGTTAACAAGTTAACGACAGACCTCGGCGGTCGGCAAACGAGAAGCACGTTCGTGCTGAAAATCTCGTCAATTTCACACGTAGAATAATGATGCGTATTTGTGAATTTTCTCTCGTGCGTGCGGGGAATTTTCACGGGGAACGTACACGCGTTTACCACACGAAAATACACGGCCGGTGTCAGCTCGGCTCGTCAGCGTTCGGTTCGTTCGTTTCATTTGCGTGAGGTAGGGAGATAACGCCGTCGCAAAGTGAGATTTCAGGCGGCACTTTATGTCGTCACGGTACTGAGAAAGGAACCAAAAAAAAAAAAATAGAATAAAATGAACAGAAAGGAAGAAGAATGGACACTCTTTCCGACAGCGATAACTTACCTATTAAACACGACGCAGATACCGCGCGGTGTGTTCCTCTCCTTTTTTTAATATATAAATTCGCAATATATCGCGGCGCAACCGTTTGATGCGATAACGTCCGATAATAGCCGGGCTTTTATCGCGTTTTTCACTAATCGTGACTCACTTGCACAAAGTACGCACACACAGTTGCGCACCAGTGTGTATTACGACTGCTCTTTATCCTACGCAAGTAATGCATTATTTGTTCTTTCGCTAACGTTATCTACAACGAGGTAGCCTAAAGGTACCACGAGTGGTGGGAAAAAAAATAAAGAGACAAAAAAGTAATGAAAGGACAAGTTCTACTCGGCGGATAATTTGGCTAGCTCTCGGCGAGACGCGAGACTTGGAGTGTCCAGCGATTATTATTACCCTACGACCTAAGGAGGAAGTGACGCCAATTGCGGTAACGACCAGGAGTTCTCGGTCGGCTAACAATCACAACATTGCACGGGAGACACTACGAAAACATGGGAGAGAAAAAGATACAGAGAGAAAGAGAGAGAAAGAGAGAGAGAGAGAAACAAAAAGAGACAGAATCACTTCGAACTAAAAGCATGCGGTATGGTGAGTCCGGAGCTTGACGTACATATGGATCGTGATATGTGGAACGTAACGAGAGGCACATCGGGAACGTAAAGGTGGTGCCTGAAAAGAAGTAGTGGCGTTAGCGTGTAACGACATAGGTGGTAAAAAAATCTGCTTCCCTTGCGGCGTCGTTAGTAAATCATAATAATCGTGAGTGGAGCGGGCGGGCGGGCGAGCGAAAATGTGTATGTATGTATATATACGTGCACTAAAAAGATGACTTGATAATAAGCGCTAAGATTTGGCGAATATTTGCCAACCAAATATGTGATTACTGTAATCAAACAACATAGTAAGTATACATAGGAAAAAAATTAGTCTTAAATCAAGAATAGATATTCTTATATGCAAACAAAAATATAATATTCTTGCTTCTATATGAGAATATCTATCATCGATTTAAGATTCGATTTAAGATCGATTTAAGATCGATTTAAGATCGATTTAAGATCGATTTAAATCGATTTAAGACTTTTTTTCTATGTACAATATACGAAACAATAGTAGTATACACAGTACACAGAATAATATTATTTGATTGTAATGAACAAGTAGTGGTCGGCAAATATTTACCAAATTTTAGTACATATTGCCAAGCCTTTTTCTCAGTGTATAATCGATGAGAGATACGGAAAGCGTGTTGGTGAGCAGTAACAAGTTACGAGACAAGTGACAGATGTAGCATCGAGAGAAGCATTCTTCAGGATAGAGTTAGGAAGTAGTAGTAATAGTAGTTTAGGGCGTGTGAACCTTCCTTCTTATCGTCCGCGCGTTCCTTACTTTTTTTCGTCTTCAGAGAGACCATGTGTGTGTATGTGTGTGTGAGAATTCGCGTTACACGTAAATTAGCACCTCCCTCACGGAGAGCAATAGACAGTGTTTCGTGTTCAAACCTCGTAGGGTATACTTTTTTTTTCTCATTTCCACCCAAGAAAAAAGAGAGAAAAAGATTTTTATAGTCGCAGTCCCCTTTTCGTTAAACTCTAAAAGCCAATCTCTCAGCGTCCCCTTTCTCGTCGAAGTGAGGCGCGCAGCTTCGAAAACTCGCAACCTCGATTCTCTACCTCAAATTACGAACCCAAGTGCTACTCGTCCCAAAAAAAGCATATGTGAATTCATGTTTGCATTGCGCGAAAAAGTGATACACAAAAGACAAGATCCGACTCTAATCCCGGCATGAGTTACGGTATTCGTACGATATCGCTATGAGAAAGCGGGACCTACGAGGGCTGAAGTCTTAAAGGATTATTTGACTGGGTCGTACCTGATCCAGGGTACCCCGTATCGTCTGGACCGAGGCATCGGCCCGCATTGCATCCCATGTTTTTAGTCTTTCTTTCAGCGTCTCTGTTTTAAGTGGACATTTTATATATGTTAGAACGGGTAGAGGAAGCTGCGAGAGATGAATGCATATACCACACAAAAAATATATCAATATCAGTAAATACGTATATAAATATAATATAAATATCTATATGTATGAACATATATAAATAAATATATATATATATGCATCCTACACACGAATCGGTAAAAGAAAAACGTCACAGTTTATAATTAATCGATCAATCCTCGTGTAATCCGCGCGACACTCTCTCGTAGTGTTGTGCTCAATTTTCTTAACTCTTTCCTTCCGATATATATATACATAATTCGAGAGAAAAAACATATATATATATATATATATATATATNTCGCCAATGACTAATCGATGACCTTATGTACACGATTAAATCAAATCAAGTGTACCGAGTTGTGACTACGTGAGGCAGAGTCTTCGGTGTTTTGTCATCCGCAACGTTCACGGGGACAATTATTATTTAAGGTTGCGCACTGGCATCTGGAATTTATTAATGCTACACACCTAAGACTCTACTTTGCGCGTTGAGGATAAAATAAATAACCTATCAAGATTACATGCAAAGAAAAAAAAAAGAAACAAACTATAGAGAGATAGATAGAGGGAGAGAGAGAGAGAGAGAGCGAGAGAGAGAGAGAGAGAGAGGGGGGAGGGGAGGAAAGAAACCAAAAGATCGGCATATTATTTGATGTTAGGCATGCAATATTAAACATCGTATGTAACCATCAGAGAAACCATCCGATAAAGCGTAAATCAAATGTGGCACGCCGTATACTCATACTGTACAGAATTTCGCGAGCTTTACAACGATCACGTTCCCTTGTCTTTCTTGACACCGTTCTACGCACTTAATTCGCGAAGGATACAATCGCCCGATGCACAAGGTGTACCAAAATCCCCACATGCGGAGTATACAGGGAGATTTTTCGTACCAGAGGAAGTAACTTTTTCCTCAGCGAAAATATCGAGAAAGGTCATTATTTATAGCGATTTTTCAAATAAGGACAATGTATGTAACAGATCTTTGAAGCTAAGCCTTGGATTAAAATTCTGTTCAGGTCTATTTGAAATTGATACCAAAGAAGATAATTTTGCTACTCATTTGTTCGCTTCCCGAAGCTCACGAAAAACCCAATTTTATTTCAATTCTTTCAATAATCGCTCGTTTCTCGGGTATTACTGTCACAATTTCCAAATGTTTCCATAAAATTCTTCTCGTTTAATCAGTGAATAATAACGATCATTTTGGTAAAGGGAAAAGCTGCTTCTTTTCTGGTATCAGAAACTTTCCCGTACACTCCGGACGCGGGAATTGCGGGACACACTGTATATCGATCGCCGATTCGAAGATTCGGCGGGCAATGTTGAGATGACAGCGAGGTACAAGAGGAAAAGCGTTTTTACAACGTTCATGTCCCACTCCCAGTTGTAACATAGTTTTTAACATTGCCCATCGCAATTACAGAGACATTCGGCGGCGTCGCACGAAAGCGGAAGCTTCGACATCGAATATCGTCCGTAAAAACACTGTGTGCTGTCTCTCGATTTTTTTTTTTTCGTTGGCGAAGACCGCCACCGCGACTCGCATTGTCCCCAGCGAAGCTGCGCCCCATATCCCAGCGAACACGACCGACGAAATATCCGAGTGACGCGGACGACCGAGCGCGTCCACGCGTCGATATTGCGAATCTGCGCGACACGCAGGCACGAGTCCTTTGTTCGATCCGCACGTCGTCCACGACCGACCTGTCGAGGGAGAAAAAAAGCCAGCCGCTGACGCAGAGGCGACTATCGAGATAGCGTTGCACTTCGAACTGGACCAACGCTACCGTGTATTCCCGCTCGAAGAGGGGAATCGTCCTCGAGAATGACGACGAATTTATAGGCTCGATACCTCAGATATTCGCCGAGGATGGTCAACGATTATCCCGGGTGACCCACGCACCAACTCTTCGTGGCCAACGTCCTCCACGAGGACGCTGTCACGAGACTTGCGCCTCTCAGCTGCACTTCACTGTACCTTCCGTACTTCTTCCTCTCCTTCCTTCTAATTTTCTATTTTATTATCCGCGCGTAGAGACTGTCCCTCTTTCTCTTTCTCTCTCTCTATCCCTCTCTCAGAAAGCGCTGCAACCAATGGTAATTCGCATTATCGTGTTTTAAACCGTCGCAACTCTCCCAGCGTCTGCACCGAAGTTTATCTTCTTGTGGAATAGCTTCTGCGTTTACCTCTTTCTGCATTTAAAACGAAACTCAGTTTTGACAGGTTTTGACACAGGAAGAGAGAGAGAGAGAGAGAGAGAGAGAGAGAGAGAGCAAAGAGCACAGTTAGAAAGAATCGACGGACGGTATTTCGATAGAGATCCGTCCTGACCGCGTCTTTTTCACACTGCACTTAAATTGCACGTTTTCCGGAGCACGTCGAAATGAAGAAACGCGGAGAAGTGCAGCTGAAGCGGACACACCTAGTAAATTCGTCTCGGGCGAACTAACCTATATCTTCCGCCGCGACGAAGATAGTGCGCACCGGCCAAGGTCGAAGAGCACGAAAAGGAGAGACGGAGAAGGAGAAAGTGAGAGAATGCGTAGCGGATGTTCAGGACGCCATCAATGACGCGAGTGCCCAGGACACGCTATCGATGACGCGATTCTGTCGGGGAGAACGCAATCGACGCCGCGAGCTATCCGCCTGCACTCTCTTGCACTTTTCGCGGTTTGAGTTAAAACACACACATCCTTGGCATCTCGGGACGAAAAGAATGCGAAGAGCGAAATGCGGAAAGTACGTCCGGAGCGACAGCCTGCGACATCGCCGTCGAGACGAGCCGCCTTCAGCTGCACTTTCTGCACCTTCTCATGATCTAACCCCCCTCCCCCCTCTCTGGCGATCACGACGATCCAATCTCGACGAATTTGACCGAATCGATCGCGATTCGGGCTGTTCCTCGGGATCTCGAGCACAAACTCACCCGGATGCGCAGGGAGTGTGACGCGGCGCGGTGGAAGGCGACCGACCTGAAGTAGCCGATGCTCTCGGCGATACTGGGAACGTCGCTTGACCGCGTCACGTTAAAAGCACGCACCCACTCGAGAATCTGTTTACGTCGAGGTAGCGACGTCTAATCGTCTGGATCGAGCACTGTCACGAAGGCGAGCGAGATAATCCGATGACCGTTAGGCTCGCGATTCCTCGTCGGCTGGCGGGCGAGGGGAGACGACGGCCACGAAATTCTTCCCAAATTTTGTGTGCACACACCGGAAATGCAGCGACGGGACACTGACGGGACGAGGGCATGAGAATGGTCTGCGATCCGTTCGACTGCGCTCTCCTCCCTCCCCCCCTTGGCTCCCTTCCTTTTCCACCAACACCCGGTTGCGCCAACGTCTGATGTCATTTCGAGTGCAGAAGGTGCAACGCGTAGCCGAAAAGAAACAGAGCCCTCGGAGGGATCGGGAAGAGCCATGAGACGGTCGAGGATACTTGGTGCGAGAGAACAAGGGGCACGGGAATTTCGAGAAGGGACGCGGGGACACCGAGGAACAGGACAACGGGTCGGGAGAGGTGGCCCCGGATGAGAGATGGTTTACTTACTGGACTAAACGGCCACGTAGTGTCAGGTAGAGCCCGAGAGCATTCCAAGAAATCCGTCGTGCGGATCGTTCAGCTTCGCGACAGTGACGACGACGACGGCGGCAGCGGCGACGGTGACGAAGAGGTCGAAGCCGAGAACGACGACGTGGACGCAGGCACGAGTCGTAGTACGGATCGCGCGCACGAACGACACGACGAGCGCAACGGGAGAACCGAGCTTAGAGCACACCTCGGCGCGCGATGATGCCGAGCCAACGACGAGATTCGCGACGCATGGCACTCCCTCGGGGCCTCCTCGCGCGACCCTTTCTCTCTCTCTCGCTCTCGCCGTCTATCTCTCCTCCTCTATCTACCTATCTGCCTGGTCTCTCTCTTTCTTTCTTTCTTTCTCTCTTTCTCTCTCCCTCACTCTCACTCGGCTGACGGAGGAGGAGGCTCCTTTTTCCCTCTTTTAGCACCGGACACCCGGCCCGACGTCCGACGGGATCTCTAACGCGCCCGATCACGCTCGCGACGCCCGCACGCACGGCGCACCACGCACCCTCGTACCACTCCGGCCGGCGGTGACTTAAGAAATAATTGCGTATTTACCTGAAATCTTAAGCGACAGAAAGTCAAGAAAATGGCTGCCCTCAATGGCCACACCTCGATCTGTTGAGTGTGCGGCGATCGGCTAGCGTGGTGGGGCGCCCGGCGGCAGCTCGGCCATCTCAGGGACGTGCCGAGCGCGCACGAGCACCCCCGAGCTGTGTTGAGCACAGCCGAGCGCGCGAGCCGTCCGCGCGCGCCTGCTCCATGCCGGGCGCCCCTCCGCGAAGTTCGAGTTTCCGTCGACCAGTCACGCGAAAATCAGACTTACGCCCACCGTCGAGCGAGCTGTGAGGTTCGTTCCTCGAGGATGATTGATGTCAAATCGATGTTTGGATCTTCTCGCGGTCGCTTACCGAGAAGGACTCCGGACGTGCGAGGTTCTCGTACGAATCTCAATTTACCAGTGAATATTCCTTTGGTCATCGCGTCCGACCACAGCGACGGCTAGAACTCGACCTTCGTGGAATTTTCGCGATCTCGTCATCGGCTGGCTTGCGAAATCATCGGCTGGCGTTCATAAATCTATCAGACGGACCAACCTCGGATATTGATTCCGTGATACATCATTGTCAACGCGTTAATCCCTCTACGCAAACACGAAACTGTCTCGACTGTAGCGGCGGCGGTAGCAATTAATCAACCGATCCTACGAATATACAATTAACCTCCGCACGTGAACGATCCATCAATCAAAGGGACCCACTACATTCTCACAGCTGAATTTCCACAATCGCTTTATACCCATACCTATCGTATCCGTTTTTGCGTAACCTGCACGTTGCGCCGCACTCTCTGCACTCGAAACGGGCGCTCCGTCATCGGAGAACGACCGAGAGAGGAAAAGTGCAGAAAGTACAGCTACTGATTCGAGCGCGGTGTCACGGCGGCCAGGTTGAAAAGAAAAAGATGACGTGTGGTTTGGCGGTGTGTGACACACACACACATACACATACGCACACAGGGGACCATGTGTCATCCGCGGGGTACGAGGATGATCTCGTAAGTGCCTCGGGCGAGGCGGCAAAGCCGTAACCGCAGCATCGATCGTGAGAGGCGCGGCTGCACGCGTCCGACCGCTGATCGGATCGATCGGGAATTCGGGGCGCCCGCGCTCGCCGGCCCTGCAACACGCTCCGAAAGCGACGAATCACGCGCCGCCGGCGGCGCGCACGTCACCGGATGGACCTGTGAAAAAGCTTTGCGCACGCATCGCGCGCTGCTCGCCCATGCAGCCGCCGCTGCCGTTATCGCTGCTGCTGCTTGTGGGTGGATGACGGAAAGGGTTGGAAAATATGTAAATAACACGTATACGCACACACACGCGCGCGCACATCGCGGCCGCGTGTAGCGCATGATATCTGCCCACGATTTCAGGAGGGACGATCGAGCTACCTGGAAATGTTACGTTCGGTCGCTCGGAAATATTCCGCGTCTCCTTTCGTCGTCCGTCCAACCGGATAGCGGAAATTTACAAGAGATGTTGATGAAAAAGACACCTCAAAGCGTCTTACGTCTTCTATGACGTTCCTCGTACATCCTCCCTTACCCTTCAAGGCCCCCGTGTTAACAGACGTTGCTTGAAACGCGTCCCACGTCAGGTACTGAGTACTGTATTAATAGTCGTTTGAAACTTGCCTCGCGTGAGATGCTCGGATCCGAATTTAGAATTAAATACGAGTTTTTCAGTTGAATTCCTCGATACATGTGACGTAATTTTTGCGTGTGATCGCGATTTAACCGGAAGATTCGGAACTAATTCTTAATTCAAATTAGAGTATTTCACTTGAGAGGCAAGTTTGAAATGACGACTTTCGACACAAGCCTAAGGATCTCAGTTTAGAGTTAAATTCGGGATTTTCGTGTAATATATGCGACATTGCACTTGTGAACGTGATTCAGCTGAAAAAAAACTCCAATTGTAATTCAAATCTGAGTATCCCGCGTTCGCTCGAATGAATGTTAACTTAAAGGTTAGTCCATCAAAATATTTCCTTGGGAATCCTTTCAAATTTTTGCTGCATATTGACCGAAATACTATCTACACGTATGTAAAGTTAGAAAACGTTTGACCATTCAGCTGAGATATTGAAGCAACTGAAGATGACACTTTTTATACATGTCCTCTGAGGTTAATGTCCTATTTTTAGCCTCTATTCTTAGACTTCTTTTAAACTACATTTAGGATTTAAATGGAAAACTACTGTGATATTAAAAACCAACACAGAGACATTATACGAAAATTTTAGAATTATTGACCATTTTATTGTGGAAATATAGCCACAGGAAATTTATAATTTATAGTAATAGCCACGGTATATGTATACGTGTACACATATTTAAATATTTACATACCATTTTCATTATCTGTGCATTATCTGTGCATCTCCATTAGCTCAATTGACGTGTAAATAGGGCATTAATAAGAAAAATAAGAAAAAAATAAATAATACTTCCGAGTTTGTAACATTGTATGTGTATATGTGTTCCATATATTTGTCTTAACATTAGAAGTACCGAATATCATTTCTGACTGTTTATATTTTTTAGATTAATACTCTATTCCTTATATTACATCCAAAAGATAGGATTCTGAAATTATATGACTTTCCACCAATCATTCCCTTCATTAAATGATTTATGTGAAGTCACAAAATTTCCTTTCACATAAGAAATCGGATATCAATCTAAAACATAACAATCAGGAATGAAAATGAACGAAAATAAACTTTTAAGTATCTTTCGAAGTATTTTCTTTTTTACAGCAAATAAAATTTATGAAGGTGTCCCTTTAATATCGCCATTGAAAATCCGGCAGCAGCCGAATGACCAGCCATCGAAGTCTGTAACGCGCAAGGAAACATATCGTTCTGCGCGCCGATGTGCGCTCGACCTTCCGAAATTACGCAATGATCAAATATGAGAATCGCAAGATCGCAAATTACAGCGCGAACGACGCTAAGTGCTCCGATTTGTATCGGATGCGCGTGCAGCAGCAGCGCGAGATATCTCTCGCCTCCCATCTCTCGGGCCAATTTCACACCTTGTGCTGCGCGTTGCGTGCACGCGTGGTGTGCGTGTGTGCGGTGCGCACGTGGAATGTCATTAACCGGCTTATCGGCCGGATAAAATAAGCACCGACGTCAGAAATTTCCCCGATTGCGCGCAAAATAGATACGCGGCGCTTGAGTTACGTTTCTGCCGCTGCTTCTTCTTCTCCTTTTTTTATGACATACACACATATACACACACACACACACACACACATCGGGGGGGAGAGGGGGGAGTTCAAGGCCGTGAGACGTCCCGATGACGACACCCGCCCGCATTCCCGTTGCACACTCGCCGCTAAACGTGGCGCGCCGCCGCTCCCTTCGAGAGATCGAATAAATACCTACGTACGAAAGAGAGAGAGAGAGAGAGAGAGAGAGCTCAGTTTATCGGAAAAAGCATGGTAAGACGGTGGCAAGGCGCGAGCGTTTCGCGCTAAATCGAGGGTAAGAATAGAAACCGTACTGTAACGGCTCCTCGTCGAGAGATAACAGCGTCGAGAGCGGCTCGCTCGGTGACGAGCAAAAAATGAGCCGCCCGAGTCTGCGCGCCTCGCGCTTTGACGGATCTCTCGGCGAATCGAGCGGACGACGAACGGTTTCCACCGATTCGCCCGAGAAGCGCGTTTTCTCAACCTTTTTTTTTTTTCTTCCCGCAGCTTAACGTCGTACGCTCTCGGCTAGAAGACGACGACAATAAACCGAGTATCCGACGGGGCGGACAATACGATACTGAGTCATAGATAACACGCCCGAGCGGATACTGATCGCGCGGATCAACCGGCGATACGTTGTCCGCGTCGCGCGACGGTCGACCTTATGCGTGCGCGCGCGTGACACGTAAAAGCATGTGCCTGCGTGTGCGTAATATACGTGCCAAATAAGAATGATGTCACTGTATGACGCACGTGGAATTGGCGAGCCTCCGCTCGCGGATGCCCGACCGATCCCGAGGAATACGGGGAATGCGGCCGCTGGAATGGAATTTACGTATCGCCGTGCATCCTGCTCGTCGGGAGAAACTGTATCCGTTGATTATCAACGCGTGGCGAGCGAACGCGTACGA